GCATTCTGTGGCGACAGCCATGAGCATGGCTCCTGTGGTTTGACCCACTTCTTTGGTTCTGCTTGGTGTGGATGAACGATGCCATCACACTCCCACCAAAGACAAACTCAGCCTCCCTCATCTGAGCTCTGCCCCCCTCCCGGGGGAGGGTGGGGGGAGCCTGGCTGCAGTGTCCTCTATGGTGTTTGTGCCTGCTGTGTGTCTCTGAGAGTCTTTTGTTGGAGACAGATCTAGTCAGTGGGACTGTCTGGCAAATGGAACTATGCAGGAGGAGAAGCCCCTAATCCTGGCTGGAGGCCATGACTTCATCCCATGGGAGGCTCTTAGGAGAGGCCCCTTTACTCTGCTGCAGTGGATGGAGGCAGCAGCATCCTGGCTCTGCTGGCTCTTCCTGTTTCCACCCCTGTGCATGCTGGGAGAGTCAGGAGGCTCCTCCATGCTGTGACGCGCGTGCCTATTTGCACCACACTCCTGTGAGACCTGTTAAATTATGCTCTACACCTATGCTCTACACTTAAGGGGTCCCTGGCAGACTTGTGTGCTAACCCCAACTCTGCCGTGTACTTTCTGGATGACTGTGCATAGTTCCTAACCTCTCTGAGTCTCAGTTTCCCTGTTTGTGAAATGGGAACAATAGTCTCTCTTTCCTGCTGTGGTTGTAAGAGTTAAATTAGGTAACTATACAGTGCTTGGTGAAAAGGAAGGCCAGGACAAAGGTAACTTTTTTCTACTGTTTTTTTTTTTTTTTCATTTTGTGTGTTACAAGTTGGTGCATGTGTGCACATGTCTGTACATGTGTATGGAGCTAGCATTTGACATCAATCACTCTCTACCTCTTCTTTTGAGTTAGCATCTCTCACTGGATCTGGAAATCTCCATTTGTACTAGACAGGCTGGCTGACAAGCCCAGGGATCCTTCTGTTCCCGTCTCCCTGGTGCCGGCACTACAGGTGAGCACCATGCCTGGTTTTTTAACTTGGGCATTTGGGGATTAAACCCAATTTTCCATGCTTGCATGACAAGCCCTTTCATGATGGAGCCATTTCACAGCCCCCAGTGGTAACTGTTGTGGTGGAATCTTGTCTGTGACATTCAAGGTCTTCCTCTTCCCTTCCACCCACCAACTGGAGAGTGTGCTGGGCTGTGTCTAACAGTCTTAGCAAGAGTCTTCCAGGCTGTGACCAGGGAAGCAAGCTAAGGACTTCCGACAGTGACCAGAAACACCCCAGGGCACTTCGGCTGGAGCAGAAGTGGTAGAGGGAGTTGCTAAAATCACACAGACTCTCACTGAAACCTTCATACCTTATGATTCTCCCAACTCACTTCTGAAAGTCTGCACTCTAGAAACCATTAAACAACAGAGAAAGCCATTGAAATGGCCCAGATGGTAAGACTGGGATTTCTAACTAAACCCTGTCTGCTTCTAAAGATAAAAAAAAAAAAAGCTTAAACACAGAAGGTTTAAACATGGTAAAAACATGGAAGGTATAAAAAACAGACCCAGATGAATTTATATATAGAGAATAATGTATTGAACTAAGAGAGACATCTGATAAAATTAACAGTAGATTAGACAATGCAGAAGAGGGGGTTAGCTGTTTATTCTGGGTACCTTAAGCAGTGAGGATGAGGATGAAGAAGATGATGCTGATGGGGAGATACCCTCAGCTAACATTTATTTACCTCTAGCTGTGGACCAAAGCCTGTTCATGTCACAAATTAGTTTCTTTGTTGTGACTGTAATGAAAGACCTGAGGCTAGGCCCTTTATAAAGAGGTGAGTGTAGCTCCCATTTCGGAAGACTAAAAGTCCAAGACCAGGTGGCTCTGCAGATTCCTTTATGGTTAAGGCCTTCTTGACTGGGTCACACCTCAGTTATTGGTACTGTGAAGGAGTGTGGAGGAGTACCTGTGTGAGAGAGAGAGTTAACTCAGCAAGATAGGCAACCAGAGACAGGGAGGGGTAATAATGGCCTCCCACTAGGCTTTATATCTTTTTTGTTTTGTTTTTGAAATAGGTCTTGCTGTATAGCCCATGCTAACCTAGATCTTGTTATATAGACTAGACAGGCCTCAAACTGACATTAAGCCCCCTGCCTCTGCCTCCCTGGTACTGAGATTACAGGTGTGCACCACAATGCCATGTCCCATCTCTTAAAAGGCCCCTTGCTTCTCAATATTGGCATAGGAGGACCAAGCAGGGCTGATGCAAATGCTTTCTAGCCTATAATATACACACATGGACTCTATGCCTTGCAACGTTCCTATTCCATGGGTACCATTGTCAAGCTATCTCACACAGGACTAACGGAAGGGGCAGAGAGAATTGACCTGCTCCAGTTTGATCTGCCGGGACAATGGGAAGGCCAGGCTCCTTAACCCAGGTAGCCTACATTTTAATCAATCCTGTCTCCTGAGCCCTCTCCTACTCCATGTCCCACTACCGCCCACAAATGGCTTGCTGTCGAGGCATCCTTCACCGGGTGGCTCAGTGTGGTGTGCTTTGACCACAGCTTACCTCAGGATTTTCCAGCAATCTTAACAGGGAGGAAACCTTGGCCCAGGTTTGCAAATGAGGACACCAAACCTCATGGTGGCAAAATCTTTTCCCAGGGACCCAGAGCTGGCAAAAGAAAGAGCTCGAACCTGAGCGAGGTCTCTCTGCCAGGTGTGCCCTGACTCTGCTAAATGTGTCAGGAGCAACAGTGAGGCAGGTGCTTTGAATGTCTGTTTGTGGCCTTCTGGGACCAACAGAGAACTACTGTGCCTCCTGCCTAAGACAGGTCAGATGGGGGGAGGTGGCCACAGGCCCTATCAAGAACCCCAATCTAGAAGGTTGCTTTCGGTTAAAGAGGCATGTGGGCAGGAATTTGGGTCTAGTATTGAGCAGGTGGAGGCCTGACATGAGCCAGCCAGTCACAGGAAATGCTGGAGGCCATGGGCATGTCTGCAGCTTCCACTGGTGTGACGGTTTCACAGGAGCACTCATTCCCACACCCATCAAGTTTCTTATAATTTACTGAATGACAATCACCCCTCTACTAAGTAACTTACACAGATAAGAATATGCCAGAAGAATCTAGTTTGCCTGATATTGGGTATTTTTCTCCTTTTTAAAAATTATTATTGGGTGAGGGCATTTTGTTTTATTTTGCTGTGCCTTCAAGAAAATTTTTGGTGGCCCAACAGCTCAGATTGGCTTTGGACTTGCAGCCATCCTCCTGCCTCAGCCACCCAAGTGCTGGGATGAACTGCATAAGCCACCATGCCCAGGTCATTACTTCGAAGGCACATAGTTTTCTCACAAAGGAATATTAGTTCATTGGCTGAGTCAAGAAACAAAGGGGCAGCCAGTAGAGTGTTCTGTAGCCCTAGCACTCCTGAAAACCGAGGCAGAGGGGCTGCAACTTTGAAAGCAGACTGGGCCACAGAGTGAGACTCTGCCTAAAACAAAGGAAGGAAGAAAGAAGAAAGGGAGGAAGGAAGGGAACCTGCTGTCAACACTTTGGAATGAACTCATAGGCCAGGAGTAAGGAGGTCAGTCTAGGCATTACGTCCCCAGCAGTCACCTACAAGCATGGAGGAGCCCATCTTCTGTTGATGGACAAGGTCCTTGGATGTGTACTTCAAGCAACAGCTCTGTCCTCATTGGCTAGGTCCCAGCTGTTTGCCACATTAGTATTCTTTCCAGTAAATTGGGGCAGATGATTGGTAGATTCAGTTGTCAGCGCAGGTCAATTGCCCTCCAATCGTCATAGGTGTTCTTTGAGTCAGCAAGCCCACATGAGGCAATAGTCGGGCATCAACTGGGATATCGAGACATCTCTTTTTTGAACTTGAATGGAAAAAAAAAAAGTCAGCAACCTGTGCGTCCGTCTGTAAGAGACTTACTATATAGATAGTACAGTGGTAAAGTAGGCAAAGCGTTAAATTGTGAAGCTGCGTCCCAAAACCGCAGCTAAAGAACACTTAACAACACAGACACGCGTTCACTTAAGTGAATTAAAGACCAAGGCTGGGGCTGGGCCTCAACTGGCAAAGTGCTGGCCTCAGATGCATGAGGCCTTGGGTGCCAAGCCTGGCACCACACAAACTGGACATGATGGCACACCGCTGTGATTCTAGAACTTGGGAGGTGGAGGAGGACTGGAAATTCAAGGTCATCTTTGACTAAATGAAGACTTTGAGGCCAACCTGGGTTACACGAGGCCTTGTCTGTGGTGAGGTAAGGGACTAACTACAAAGTACCGCATATAACGTTTTCCTAGTTTGGTAAAGTGAAAATCTGGAAGCAGAAAAATAAAAACTATATACGTAAGCGTGTAGAAGACGGATAGTAGATAAGTAGATAGAAGGAGAGATGACAGATTAGAAAGATGGTAAATGTTAGATTGATTGGCAATAGATAGATAATAGATTACGTAGATGGCAGATGATAGATTGTTGATTTTTATGATATTAGATTTATGATATGATATTAGATGGATAATAGATTATTGATGATAGATGATTGATGATAGACACATACATACATAGATACATAAATGCATAGATATATAGATAAATTTTTTAAAAAAGTACCACAAGGACATAAGCCAAAAAGCTAATCATGTTTCCTGTTTTTGCAGATGATCCTACATTTCAAGTTTGTGTTTTTCAGATCTTGGGCTGTGGGGCTGGGGTTGTGGCTCAATGACAGAGTGCTTGCCTAGCTTGCCGGCGGCCTTGGGTCCTATGCTCTTAATCTTGAGGGTGCGTCCCAAATCTCCCATTCTAGATACATGTTTCCTTTTTTAAAAAACCTGGTGGGGACCCCAATATATCAAAAAAGAGAAAGAAATACAACCCCAGACTCATAGAAAAGAGGAAGTGTGAGGCACTTGGGTTGATTCAGCAGGAACTGGAAGGGTTGGGTAGCATGGGTGGGGGGACCTGATATAAGGGGCTGCCCACGAGACAGGGGACTTCTAATAGCTGCTGGCCTCACTTTGTGCTGGAACCATGAGACTTGCCCTGCTGTGTGGACTGCTGATGCTGGCTGGTGAGTGGGGACAGGTGGTCTGGGGAGGAAGCAGGATTGAAGGTAGATCCCGAGTGTCCCATCCTAGCCTGGGTTGCTTTGTTCCTGGAGACACCAGAAGTCTGGTCCCCAACACTTACACCACCAGCAAGGAGTCATCCAAGGCTCAAGGCTACCAGGCACCTAGGAATATGACTTCTGGCTTCAGCCAGAGAAGCAGGGGCAGGGAGACTGAACTGTGTAGCAGCATTCTGGGAAGAGGATCCCTCGTGCATTGGCCAGGAGGGGATCCGGGGACAGTTTCTACTCTCTAGAAGATCAGATGTAAAAACATGGCTGCTTGCACATTGGCTTTCATTTTCTTAATCCATCTCAAAATACATGGTTTTTAAAAGGTAATTTCATAGCTGGGCAGTGTGTCACACACCTTTAATCAAAGCACTGGGGAGGCAGAGGCAGGCAAATCTCTGACTGCAAGGCCAGTCTGGTTTATAGACAGAGCTCCAGGATAGCCAGGGCTACACAGAGAAAGCCTGTCTCCAAACACCCCCCAAAAGTGATTTTCTGTTGTTTTGGGACTCCCACACCCTTGAGAGGGATACTTGCCCAGAGTTACAGTGAAGTCCATTAAGCATGAAATGGAGCTACCGAAATTCATCCTGCAGCTTAGACAATGGAATGCGGACTTCTAGGGTGCATCGCATTTACCCACCACCTCCTCGTGGCAGCACGTGCTAGACCACACCACCCAACCTCTTCATGCCCTCACCTGCTCAGTGGACCAGGGCATCCTCTCTCTGTCGAAGAAGAGACCCCTAGTGAGAAAATAGTGACCAAGTGTTATATAAGAGTCACACAAAGGGACTCTTCTGACCATGTATTCCTCATCCCTGAGAGTGGAGGGATGCGAGGGAATCAAGGACGAATTGTTGAGATAGGAATCTCTGACAAACTGGTGGACATCGCTTGAGTGTACTTCCACAGGCTCCGTTTGCCTCACTACTGAATGATGAGAAATGGAACCACCCCACGAAGCATATAGAATTCAGCTGAATGCATTACTTGCCTGCCTGGCGAGGCAGAGCTGCCCCCTTCAGGAGGGAGCTGAGTGGCTCTTTCTGGGTTGAAACTGAGAGGGCTAGCTTTGAAGCAAAGAAATAGAGGGAAAGCCTGGTGGGGTGGCTTAAAACCGGAATCCCAGAGCCGGGTGTTGGTGGCACACGCCTTTAATCCCAGCACCCGGGAGGCAGAGGCAAGTGAATCTCTGTGAGTTCGAGCCCAGCCTGGTCTACAAGAGCTAGTTCCAAGACAGCCTCCAAAGCCACAGAGAAACCCTGTCTCGAAAACAAAAACAAAAAACAACAAACAAACAAAACGGAATTCCAGCACTTGGGAGGCTGAGATAGGAAGATAGCCATGAGTTCAAGGCCAGAGGAAAAAAATTGTTGGAGGTGAAGTTGGGGGGACATAGACAGCAACAGAGAGGCCAAGAAAGGCAAGAAAGATTCTGAATTCAGATCTTCAGTTGGTGCCCAAAGAGGACTCTGCCTTTGCAGTTAATTGCTTCATCATGGAATTCAGGACAGTTTTCTAGTTCCAAATGGCAATCCTAGATGATTCCCAGGGGCCTGGGGTTATTTATCAGCACAGTCACGGATTAACTAGGCCTCCCTTTAACAGCCCTTAGCCAGAAGCACTGTGTCAAAGAGGAGTGTACACACAGGCTACACACAGAGAGGACAACACTGCCTACACAACAGTCACTTCTAATTACAGCCCAGGGCCTCCTGCTTATGACCTCCTCTTTGTCCACTGCACGAAAACTTTCCAAAGCTCCATTTCTCACACCAGAGTCCTGAAACATGGGCCTCAGCTCTCCTTAATATTTACTATGTGCCTGAAGGCACTCACTTTGATGCCAGACTAGGAATGGACTGCTTGGTCCCATCTCCCCTAAGCCTTGTGGCTGTACCTAACCTGCATTCCCCACATTCTTGACACACACTATTGTCCTCATCTTGTCTGTTTCTCCCAACTTTGCCCTGAATTCATCGATTCCATATATTTTATTTCTCCTAATTTAACATAATGTGCTCCTCTCTCCCAATAAAGCAGATTTCCCTTAAGATCAATTCTAGCCAGCAGCTACGAGGCCTGAAATGAGCAGTATTGACTTCTAAATCATCTTCCCCCTGCCGACACCCAGAGTCCTACCGGGCTTCTGTAAAGCAAAGATTTCTCTGGAGAGGAAGGACGGGCTGTGGGAGGGAGGGTGAGTCAGGCCCCCTCTTCTCATTCCGAGTGGGAAATCAATGCCCAGAGACAGCATCGGTTTTGATCCTAACTCGATTTTCTTCCTTCTATGACCTTGAGTAAGTCAGGGAGACTTCATCTGCTCACTTGTAAAATGAGGGTTACAAATGGAATTCCCGGGCTTGGTGGACAGCCCAGTTGGTAAAGGTCCTGCCTTGAGAACATGAGAACCCGTGTTTGACCCTTAGAACCCGAGTGGGAAATGCCAGATGTAGTAGCATGTGCTTATAAGCTCAGTACTGGATGGGGCAGAGATTGTTGGGCTCAGTGGCTTGCCTAATTGGTGAGCTTCGGGCTAATGATAGACCTGGTCTCAAAGACAAGTAGACAATGTTCCCAAAGATATTAGGCTGTCCTTTCTTCTCTCTACTCATGTGTGCATGTGCCCAAACACACACACACACACACACACACACACACACACACACACACTGGAACTCTTGCTGGGTGCACCTTTCCAGCAATGGAGACAAAGGCAGGCAGATCTCTGTGAGTCCGAGGCCAGCCTGGTCTACATAGCCTCTGTCTGTTAGAGCTACATAGCGAAACCCTGTCTCAGTGACAAGAAATGGAATTCCCAGCTGGCCATGGTGGTACAAAGTATAATCCAAGCCCTGGGGGTGGGAGGGTTGGAGGCATGATGGTCAGGAATTCAAAAGTCAGCCTCAGCTACTTAGCAAGTTCAAGACCAGCCTGTGCTATCTGAGACCTGTCTCAATCCTCCTTGCCAAAATAAAGGATTCCCAGCACGGCCCCCACCTATGTACCAGCTTTGATTTTCACAACAGATCCCCAATAATGTAAGATGAAAACATTAGGAGAAACCGAGTGAGGAGGGAATGAGAGCCCTCTGGACCATCACTGCCATTTTTCTGAACATCTGAAGCTACTCCAAACTAAGTATTTACTTATTTAAAAAGGGATGGAGGGGATAGAACAATGGCTCAGGGGTTATGAGCACCCCTTACTCTTGCAGAAGACCCATAATTAATTTATAGCACCCACACCAAGATGCTCACAAGCACCTGTAACTACACCCAGATAATTCTATGCTCTCTTCCAGCCTCTGAAGGCACCTGCATTCATGTGCCCAGGCATACACACACACACACACACACACACACACACACATACACACACACACACTAATAATAATAATAATAATAATAATAACCACACAACCCCACCCCCCCCAACACACACATACACACCCCCACACTAATAATAATAATAATAATAATAATAATAATAATAATAATAATAAACCTTTTAAAAGAGATGGAATCAGGAAATTAATACATAAAAGATCTGCCACTAAGGACTCAGTTCCAATCGCTGTATTTTTTATCTTACCTTCTCAGGTCTGGGCACAGAGCTCAGGGCTGACACATGCTAAGCTTGCACTCGATCACCAAGCTACACTATCTTAACCGGTACTTTTTTAAACACCGGGAGAAGTTGCCACTATTTGATAACACCATCCTTTTAAGTCCCTTGCTTGGCCCAGCACAGTTGAGCGCCCCCCACCCTGCCCCACCCAGTGGGATCCCTGTACCCCCATGATCTTCACTCCTGTCCTCCTTGTTTGGATGTTTGGCAGGTAGGACTCCAACCCAGGGAGGGCTCCTGAACCTGAACAAGATGGTCAGACGCATGACTGGGAAGATAGCCTTCCTCAACTACTGGCCCTATGGCTGTCATTGCGGACTTGGCGGCAAAGGAACTCCCAAAGATGCCACAGACTGGTAACCTCCCCTCTCTGGCCTACTTGGGACTCTTTCCTCCCTTCTGTGTTCACTGATTCATTTAGAAAATGCATTTTATTGAGCATGTACTGCATGCTGGGAACTCTGCTGAGTGCTAATATAGTCCCATTCCTCTTAGAACTGGCCTTCCAGAAGGTTCCCCAGAGTTCCTTCAAGTCCTGACATCTTCCTAACCTGGGTCTTAAGTCCCTCACTCCCTGTTTCCATTATATATGGTATTCTGAAGCTCAACCTTGACCTCCTTGCCTTTTCTCGGTTGATTTTTTTCACAACCATTTTCAGAGTCAGCCAGAGAAGTCACATGACCTTTGCCAAGCATCTCAAGCCTCAGAATTATGTTTCTTCATCTGTGAAATGGGGATGACACCAGCATCTCCATCATGGGGTAGTCACGGGGACTAAGAGAGAGCATGTGGCTGGAACAGGTGTTCATGGGGCAGTCATGGGGACTAAGAGAGAGCATGTGGCTGGAACAGGTGTTTAGTATATGGCAGCTCTTGATCAACAGCAGCTCTCGTGACCTCAAGGGAACCCAAATGTCACTCGTCCCTGGTGGGCATGTGGGGGGAGCAGGCAGTGACCAGAGCTGACTGCATAACTCCTACAGTTGTGTGCCCTGCCTGCCTATCCTCGTAGGTGCTGTCACAAGCATGATTGCTGCTATGCCCACCTGAAGACCGATGGATGCAGGATCATGACAGACAATTACAAATACAGCATTTCCCAGGGCGTTATCCAGTGCTGTGAGTGTCTGGGGGCCAAGGGCTGGAGCTGGGGAGTCCTAGCCCTCCCTGCTTCCATAGGACCAGTGGTATTATATGAAACACCCAACACCTGAGCTGTTTCTCTCTCATGGGCAGTAGGGGACAGGCAGGAACAGGGTAGGGGTATGGAGAGGACCAAGGGGACATCTCACCCTTTTGGTATCCGGAAGGCAGGCCCATCACTGACCAGCTGTGTGCTCAACACTGTTTAACGTCTCTGAAATTCAGTGTCCTTCTTGGTAATCTGCTGAACCAAGCCAACAGGAAGAACTTCAGGGGGATGCTAGCCACTCCCATTCTCATGGGGGAGCACATAGGCACCCCTAGGATGACCTTTCCTTTTTGCCACTATTGGACCCATAACAGCTCACCACTGTAGAAGCTAACACAGATGCTCACCCTGTGGGGACACTCGCTGGCTACCCCAGCTTTCAGTGCGGACGGTGATGTGAGCTAGGATGGCTCCTTGACACTGCCTTGCCCTCCCGCAGGCCTGCACCTCTCATGCTTTGGCTTGGCACTGTTTGGTTGTTCATTCTGTGGCCTTCTACCTCCTGCCTTCCCACTGTCCATTTGGTTTAGCTTTCGTCCCCCAGGGTCAGTCTCCCGGTAGCTGCTCAGGGAATGGATGTAAAACAGGTAAAGAGCAAGAACACGGGGAGGTGGAAGACACGCTCACCGTGCAGCCAAAGCAGCTGTTTGGGGACAGGGGAGCAATTCAGCAAAGATGAGCAGGGACCCTGTGTTGATTTCAGGACCCCACCCCACCCCACCCCATAGGCAGTCTCCGGAAGGGACAGATACTGAGCCATCCCTGTTTCTTCTGCCCACAGCTGACAAAGGGAGCTGGTGTGAGAGGGAGTTGTGCGCTTGTGACAAGGAGGTGGCCTTGTGCCTGAAGCAAAATCTGGACAGCTACAACAAGCGCCTGCGTTACTACTGGCGGTCCCGCTGCACGGGCCACATTCCCACATGCTAGGAGAGCCCACTGTCTGCCCCCTGGATTTCACCCTGTTCCAGGGCTTCTCAAGCACTCAAGTCCTGCAGGATTGCTGCCTCCCTCCCCAGTGTCTAGTCTCCCAGACCAGCTGGCTTTTAAAGCCCTACTTGGGAAAGGTCCTGGCCTTGAGGACTTTCTCTTGGTGTCTCTCTGCTATAAAGGACCGTATTGATCTTTCTGTCTATGGCTCTTCTCCTTTCAAACTCTGGTCTTTCTGGGATTAGGATAAAACCTCACCTATGTGTTCAGAGTCCAGCACTCTGGCCCTGCGTCCTTTTCCCCAGCTAGGCTGTGAGGCCCTCCAGCCCATCTTGGATTCAGTTGGCACCTTGATGCCCAGGTAGCCTCCTAGAGCCAAGACCAGCAGGGTCACCACCATCAAGGACTTGAGGACTGGAGCAAGCTGCAATCTTGTTGCTCCGGGTGCTGGGGCCTGACCTGCTGTTTCCTGTCTATTTGTGCTTTCTCTTGGGTCTTCTGCTGCAATGTAGGCTCAGGGGTCCCTCCTCTGGAAGCCCTTCTGGGCTGGCCCTACTCCCTAGTTCTGAGGGCTTCTTTGTACTGAACTGTCTGGATGGCATAACAGTCCACGCGTCTCCTGAGGCCAGAATGGTGAGATGTCCCAGAAGGTCATCTCTCCCCAGGCCTGGTGTCTTTCCCTGGTTCCCTGAAAACTTTCCCTGGAAGGTCTCTCCAAAGAGTCCTTTCAATAAAACACTGGCACAAGAACCCCTGACTCATGTCCCACCTGTAGGGAGACACATGGCAGACAGATAACAGGAGAGCCCACTGTCTTTGTGTTTGTCCTGCCTCCCAGGACTATGGACCTGATTACAAAACCCAGAGCTGCTGCTGCTACAGCCAAGGAAAGTGTGTGTTCATTGGTGGCAGAATCAGGAGAAGGCATCCTTGGAAGATCAGCCTCCCATCTGAACAAGGATGAGGGCCCTTTTAACAGGGAGAGGGGGACCGGGGTTGGAGGGGTGGTTCCACTGGGTAGGTAGCCTTTTTGGCTCAAACCCTCATCCCTGCTATTGGGATTACAGAGGTCCCCATGGTTGGCTGAGCTGGTGTAGTGTCAGAAACAGAATTTGGCAAAAGGGGTCATCTGGCAGGATTATATCTGGTATTTGACTGGTAACAACTGTTTCAGAGAACATCTGTCATCCTTGTGTGATTAGCTGTGTTTCCAGCCACAGGGCCGAGGCACCTAGAGCCACCCACACCCTCCAGCCTGTGACACACTGCAATGAATGACAGAGCAGTTTTCTCAAAACCACATCGAGGCAGAGTACAAAGACTTCCCAGCAGTGGGCTCTGGGTTCAAGTTCCCTCGTTCAAAATACCGTCTCCGGTGGGGGACCCTGAGAGTAGTAAGTTGTGTGTGCTGAGGACAGTGTACTAAACGCTGCCAGTTTGTTTATTTTTAAAATCTAGTAAAAAAAAAAAAAAAGAATTCTAGGCTTGGCAGGATGGTATTGAGGATGGCAAGTTCAAAGCCAGTGACTAATCATGTTACTGAGGTATTCTCCGATTCCTTGTGTGGAAGGTAGAGAGGAAAACAGGAAGGAAGTAGGGTCAGTGTGAGCTCAGTAATGTTAGTATCCACACAACTCTGAGCATGGTGCCTGAGGGCATGCAGGAAACCCTGAGTTCTGTAGGGCACTGTACAAGAGAGATGGTACACGGCTGTAACCCCAGCACTCAGTGGGCAGAGGCAGAAAGGTCAGAAGTTCGAGGTCATCCTCAGCTACATTGAGCCACCCTGGGCTACATGAGAGCCTGTCTCAGAAAAAAGAAAAAGGAAGGTGAGAGGCTGGAAATTGGAAGTGGGGTGGGTGTGGGGTGAGGGGCGCCTGGCTCTCAGCTTGGCCCTTAGGTGGCTTGATGATGTCTTCAGAGCATGGTTTCTCCCCTGCCCTTTGCTGGGTCAACATCACCCATTGTTCCAGTTTTCCTCCGGGGCAGGCTACCCACAGCTCCAATTGCAGACATGGTCCTCCAGATCTCAAGGCAGAACAGTGACACTGTCTCTTCCACTTTCCAGCCAGCTTTCCCTAGGGACTGGCCACCTGGAGTTAGAGCCGGCTTAAGAGAGTAGGGTTACCCTGGTTGGTTCGGACTACCATGAATTTAGTTGTCCCTGAGAAGATGTGCAGATCCAGCCCTTAATGGTCTGCAGACAATAGCCTTGAGGCTGTGCCTTGTGTGGCGTACTCCACGTTGTTACAAAGTAGCAGCTCCCTCTATTTTGAGCGCATGCTGAGGCGGGAAGGCAGAATCTCACTGTGCACACAGACACCGCCACTTGCTCAGCAAGACCCACAAGGCACAGAATGATAGGTACCTTATTCATGCATGTGAACTTAATCAAGGTAAATCAGAAAACAGTGGGCACATCAGCGTATCAACATTGGTGGGGCTGACAGCTCACACAGTAGAGTGCTCGCCTAGCATGTATGAAGCCCCAGGCTCAACCCTCACCAACAAATAAAATGGGATGGATTGGTGCACACCTGTTATCCTAGTACTGCACAAAAGGTAGAGGCAGGAGAATTAGAAATTCAAGATCACTGGGCAGTGGTGGCGCATGTCTTTAATCCCAGCACTCGGGAGACAGAGGCAAGGGGATCCGAGTTCAAGGCCAGCCAGGGCTACATAGAGAAACAGGTCTGGGGGAGGGGGGTTTGTTCAAGGTCCTCCTCAACTACTTATTGAATTAAAGCTAACTTGGGCAAGAAACTCAAAGGAAAACGAAAGACAAAACAGAAAAACCAGGCTCATGAGCTTATAGAACACATCATATCTGGAAAGGATGTAACTGCCACAGCCTCCCTGGGCCCCACAGAAGGAGGGCCACCCGACAGTGCAGACCTTCTCTAGCCATGTGGATGGGTGGCTCAATCACTGCCAGGTCCTTGTCTTGCCTCTGCCTCAAAGCCTTGGCCCAGCAATGTGGCTTAGCTGGCCTCCAGAGCCCTGCCCAGCAGCTTCGCTGGCCACCTGAGGTGCCTCCGCATCCACGCCTGCTCTCGCCTCTCCCTCCAGGAGGGTCTCGGAGCTCCATAGCCCCTTTCCCTCCTTCCCCAGCCACTCTGGACCCTGTTTGCAGTGTGGAGTGTGACCGAGAGTTAATATCAGTACTTCAGTTCGGAATAAAGGGCCTGTGACGGCCAGTGGCCGGGCCACCAGGGGAAAATTAGGATGACTTGGTACATGAAACCAACAGATGCTGATGTTGCGAGTGACTGTGGCTTGGGAATCTGTTGCGGAAAGACACGTGTGTCTGTGGTTGTGACGCCGTGTCTCACTACGCGTGGCTGATAGAATCAGGGTAGTGGGGCACTGCTGCCAGAGTGACAAGCCAGGGCTGAGGACTGAGATGTGCGAATGGGGAAGACAAGGCGTGAGGCAGAGCTGTCCTTCCCTTGTGGCCATATATGGTCACCGCGCAGGTAAAGACACAGGACAGGGGACCAGGATAGGCAGATGGCGCCTCCGGCAGCCATGTCTCTGGACCTCAAGACAGGAAGTCGAGACTTCTTCTGAACAAATTTCTATTACTAAAACTGGGCAAGAAGCAGAAAAGAAGGAGAGACTCCCAGCGTGTGTTTGCCATCCACTCTCTTCCCCTTGAGGTGAATCAGTGACGGGGCCAGGAGGAAGTATCTCTTAGGCTTCTGGATTCCTCCAGCCCAGGTCTACCAAGGAATGCCCTGTGGGTAAGAGGTGGGCAGCTCTGAAGACCTGTCAAACACGGGAGCCCACTCCTTCCCCACCACCTCAGACTTAGGTGGTGTCCCCTGCACTACAGAAACTTCAGGAGTGAATCAGCCGTTGATAAGCACCAGGGCTGGAATTCGAACCCAGATCTTCCTGGCTACAGGGCCCAGTCCCACCCTTACTCCTACACTCTTAACTGGGGCAGCTTCTGATTCAGCCCAAATATCCCTCCAGGGTATTAGTCACACCCATGGACCATGCTGTGAGTGTGGGGTGGAGTAGTAACACAAAGCACCAGGGAAAATGGTTACAATCACACAGTGGCGATAATGGTGTTCAAACCAAGCCCAGTAGCAATAGGCCTGTAATCCAGGTTCCTAAAAATAACTGGGAGAAGAAGATCCCAAATTAAAGGTCAGTTTGGAGTATAGAGTGAGTTCAAAGCCAGGCTGAGACACTTAGTGAGACCCTGTCTCAAAAGTTCAGGGGTTGGAAAGACAGCTCAGCAGCTAAGAACCTTTGTTGCACAGTCATGAGGACCTGAGTTAGGGTCCCGGAAGCCACATAACGAGCAAATGACCTGTGCATGCCTGGAATCCCAGCTCCAAGAGGGAGGGGACAGGAGGATCACTGGAGCTTTCCAGCCTAGCAGAGAAAACCGGAGCCCCCAGGTTCAAAGGAACGCCCTGCCTCAAAGGAATAGAAGGTTGATGGAGGACACCTGGTGCCCTTTTCTGGGCTCTGCTTGCATTCCCAGACATACATGCTTATGCATGCATGTGTGCACACCACACACACACACACACACACACACACACACACACACACAAAGTAGTGTTAGGGGAGATATTCTAGGCTAGGCCTCAGTGGTGGAATGTTTGCTGAACATGAGCAAGGCCCAGTTCTCCATCCCCAGTGCTGTCAAACACAAGAGGGGGTCTTTCAATGGAACCCCACTTTATCTCACACCAGGGCCTCTCCCAGCTCTTGGCTGATGCAGTCCTCTGGCCTTATGGATTCAGGGTTCTACCTCCATGACTAGATCAAGGAGAGATGACTGGCAATGGCTTTGACCTGCCCCTGCCTGTTTTTCCAGCTGGATCCTGCCCCAAATACCTGTGTTCCTTCCATCCATCTTGCCCTCCTTGTGACATGCTTGTGCATGGCTGGGCTCCTGCTCTTCCACACCCTCCCACGGTGTCCCCTTGAGGGAGACTGGAGTGTAGGGATGTTTTTCACTTGGAATCTTTGCCATC